TCGAGCTGGCGGTCGTCCTTCGGACCCGCAGAAACATCTGCTGAGCTCGATGAGCTAGGGGAACTACAGGAAAGAAGTGCAGGAAACGGAGGCCGGTCATGCACTCGCCGATACCTCGTTGCTCTGTCATCGTCTTTGCTGTTGCATGATCCTTATCTGGCCTGCCGGCGCCGCGGCTCGAGCTGGCGGTCGCCCTTCGGGCCCGCGGGAACATCTTCTGAGACAAGTGGACGCCGCCGCCTTACTTGCAGGCAGCGCATTGCATTCGCGGACAGCAGCATGGCAGACCGCAGTGAGATCCTCAGTCGCGTGGTGTTGCCAAGCCTGGTGGAGACGCGCGTGATCGACCTGAAGTCCCAATCGCGCGTGCATTGTACCTGCGTGGCGTTCAGGCACGCGCGTGATGCTGCTCGCTCCGCGTTCAACCAGTACGTCGCCAGTGCAACTTTGGACGATGGACAACCGATTGATGATACGCGACCCCGGCCTTGAGTTTCTTTCCCGCGGGCCGCCCGCAGACCTGGCGGCGCGCCTGCGAGCGTTCAGCTCCCGCGCTGAAATGCGCGGGAAGGAGGCGGAGAAGCTAGCGGGCGAGCTACGCCTCGCTCGTTCCTTGCACTCTAAACGAGTTTTATCATGTGGAACTCTGCGACGACATGGCGCAGGCAGCGCTGCGGGTTTAGCTCGCGCTTGAAAAACGCGGCAGTCTTCTGTCTCCTCCCGCCACTTTCATCGTCGTCCGATTCCCCGCCTCACCTTCTCCATGCATGCTGCTGCTTCCGCGATGGCCTTTTCGCCCCCCCCGCCCTCCATTCCATCCCTCTCCTACCCGTCGTTCCCGTGCCCGTTCTTCTTCGATCCTGGGGCCTCAAGCCTCGTTCTTTCGATCGTCGTCCTGTGAATCGTGCAGCGCATGCGCATCCCATGTAGCTTGCACAGCAAATCGCCGCGTCTACACTGTCGTTGTTCCTGCTAATGTTGGCATACTCCTCTTGCCATTTGATGCGCGTGGGTTGGGTACGTCGCAGGGTAATGTGTTCTCTCTCTCTCTCTCTCTCTCTCTCTCTCTCTCTCTCTCTCTTTTTCTCTTTTTCATATCTCTCTCTTTCTCTTTCTCTCTCTCTCTCTCTCTTTCTCCCTCTCTCTCTCTCTCGCTCTTCTCGCCCTCTCTCTCTCTCTATCTCTCTCTCTCTCTCTCTCTCTCCCTCTCTCTCTCTCTCCCGTTCGCTCGCTCGCTTGCTCTCTCTCTCTCTCTCCCCCTCTCTCTCTCTCTCTTTTTTCTCTCTCTCTCTCTCTCTCTCTTTTTCTTTCTCTCTCCTCTCTCTCTCTATATATTTTCTCTCTCTCTCTCTCCCTCTTTCTTTGTTTCTCTCTCTCTCTCTCTCTCTCTATCTCTCTTTTTTCCCAACCATCCTGTGGTGTTGGGTCCTCGTTTTGAAGAGACGGTGCCCCGCGTTCCCGCCTCCTTCCTCCCTCCCTCCTCCCCCCTCCTCCCCCTCCCACGCCCATTCTGGCACACCCCTCACACGCTTCGTGGCCCCATAGAGAGCTCCAGCGAAGGCCCCAGTGGCTGCGTTCGCATGCGGTTCCACCCCCCATTTCGGCATGCCCATCACACGGTTCGTGGCCCCATAGGGAGCTCCACCGAAGGCCCCAGTGGCTGCGTTCGCATGCGGTTCCACCCCTTATTTCGGCACACCCCTCACACGTTTCGTGGCCCCATACGGAGCTCCAGCGAAGGCCCCAGCGGCTGCGTTCGCATGCGGTTCCACCCCCCATTTCGGCACACCCCTCACACGCTTCGTGGCCCCAGGGGGAGCTCCAGCGAAGGCCCCAGTGGCTGCGTTCGCATGCGGTTCCACCCCCCATTTCGGCACACCCCTCACACGGTTCGTGGCCTTATAGGGAGCTCCGGCGAAGGCCCCAGTGGCTGCGTTCGCATGCGGTTCCACCCCTCATTTCGGCACACCCCTCACACGTTTCGTGGCCCCACAGGGAGCTCCAGCGAAGGCCCCAGTGGCTGCGTTCGCATGCGGTTCCACCCCCCATTTCGGCACACTCCTCACACGTTTCGTGGCCCCATAGGGAGCTCCACCGAAGGCCCCAGCGGCTGCGTTCGCATGCGGTTCCACCCCCCGTTCCGGCACACCCTTCACACGTTTCGTGGCCCCAGGGGGAGCTCCAGCGAAGGCCCCAGTGGCTGCGTTCGCATGCGGTTCCGCCCCCCATTTCGGCACACTCCTCACACGTTTCGTGGCCCCATAGGGAGCTCCAGCGAAGGCCCCAGTGGCTGCGTTCGCATGCGGTTCCACCCCCCATTTCGGCACACCCCTCACACGTTTCGTGGCCCCAGGGGGAGCTCCAGCGAAGGCCCCAGTGGCTGCGTTCGCATGCGGTTCCACCCCCCATTTCGGCATGCCCATCACACGTTTCGTGGCCCCATAGGGCCATAGGGAGCTCCACCGAAGGCCCCAGTGGCTGCGTTCGCATGCGGTTCCAC